TTATAGTTTTGGTAATTTTAAGATCTTATTTTTTAGTATTTATTTATTTTTTGTTTGCTTTGTATTTTTATTTGTATTGGAATTAGTACTCTCTAATCTTTTTAATATTAATATCCCTATTTTATTAGTAGTAACATCCTAAATTAGTTTGGGTATTTTTTGATATAGTTGGAAAAGACTTTTCTAATACTCTATAAATACGAATATAACCTCTTGAGAGGAGCATTCAATTATTCAATAAAATATTTTAAAAATTGTGTGTTAAAAATCAAAATAATATTTAAAACTTCTTAGATATAAATTTCTAACGGGACAAATTAACTCTATTTCTCCTACACCAACATATATGGATATAATAGCTATAAATATATCCGTTAGTTATTATATTATACATTTATTATATATATAATACACACACAGAGACTAATAATTTACAAAAATTAATTCCTGTTCAGTTACTTTTAATAAACCCAAATTAATGTTGTGACTTAAAAATGTTACAGGGCGGAGATGGGGTCGGTATTATGTTGGGCCAATTCAGTTCATGGTCTGCTACGGTGCTGTTATTGCTTCCACCCTCTTAGGAGGACAATGCATGAAGGTTAGACCTATATATATATATGTAATATAATAATATATATATGTATATGTTGTTTTGAGCTGAAAAGCAAACACGGTTGGTTGTCTTTGACAGGCCATTTACTTATTATCACAGCCCCAAGGAGACATGAAGCTTTATGAATTTGTTGTGGTATTTGGATGTTTTATGTTGATTCTAGCCCAGATCCCATCTTTCCACTCCTTGAGACACATCAACTTCATTTCACTGCTTCTATGCCTTGCTTACAGCACCTGCTCAACTGCTGCCTCCATTTTTATAGGTATAATATATATATATATATTAACCAACCACTATAAATTCTTTAATAAAATTTTAATATAGAATTGAATATGAATTTGTTGAGTTGTATTTTGTCAGGAAATTCTTCCAATGCCCCGCCAAAGGATTATACCATAAATGGCAATACTGAAGGTCGTGTTTTTGGGATATTCAACGCCATTGCTATCATTGCCACAACATTTGGAAATGGAATCATTCCAGAAATTCAGGTTTGAGTTTGTTCAATTAACATTTCTAATGAGTTTTATGTTTCATAACATGTTTTACTGTGGCAGGTATTAGATCATTAAAAAAATAAAAATCATATCTTTTTAGACTACTCTTTGAGGTAGGATTTACTTATTGCTAGATGATGATACACACAATAATCATTGAAAATGTTTCTCCAAATCAAATACTTTCTTCACCTAATTGATTTATATGAACAACCCTAGAGGCAGTCTCTCCCCAACCCACTAATCTTTCCTACCATCCCAACCTTAATTAGTCTAGTAGAGTTTAGGACATACATCTCTAAGCAATGAAGAATCTATAATATAATACAAGCAAATTCGAAGTGAATTTGTGCCCTTCAAGTATCTCAACACCCTCTTAGCAGCACCTCAATGCAATTTGCTAGGTTTTGCATAAATCGTGACAAAATACTAGTAGCTGGTGAAATATCTTACCAAAATATTTGTCAGATAAAGCAAACTTCCAATGACAGTACAATAGACATTACCATCTACTTTTTCTTCTTCATTATTCAAACTGACTTGTTTGTTTCTAATCATGGTGAGTGTTTGTTGGCTTGAACTCCTGCATTTTACACCTTTCAAGAAGATTATTAATATATTTTTCTTGTGAAACGAAAATCCCTTCATCACATTGCTTCACTTCTAACCCGAGAAAGTAATTCATCATTCCCAAGTCAGTCAAAGCAAATTATTTTATCAAGTTTTTAACAAATTTTGTCGTGTATACTCTAAGCAATGAAGAATTTATAGTAAAAGCAAATTTCAAAAATTTGTGCCTTATCTCAGCACCCTCTTAGTAGCACCACAATGCAAGTTGTTGGGTTTTGCATAAATCGTGACAAAATGCTAGTACCTAGTGAAATATCTAACCAAATATTTCGATAAAGCAAACTTCCAAGGAATTACAATAGACATGGCCATCTACCTTTTCCTCTTCATTATTTAAGCTGACTTGCTTATTTGTAATCATGGGTGATACGTAACTTAGGACCAACCAATATGATAAAAAAATCCACACATATAATTTAGCACAAAAACTTAATATCTAAACAAACCTTCCTTACTTAATCCACAATTAGTCTATAATTAAAAACCAGGTAATGGAAAAAAAATAAGAATTAATAAAATACCGTGAACTTGGATATCTGGTAGATAAATGATGTGCTCTGCTTGACTTTCTAATATGAGGTTCTTCAACAATTTGAGGTGAAGGGGGCTGCTCCCCCTGCTCAACATCATCATTCACATCTATTGGTGCTGATACATAGTAATTTCAATCTCGTTCATTACTGACATTTCCGATTGTAGGAGGAATCAATGCAGGAAAATGAATCTCTTCATTTGTAGTCTTCTCAGATATCTCAAAATCTAGTAGAATCTTGTGTTCATTAAAAATTACATCTCTCGACCTGAAAACTTTCTTTTTCACTTAATTTTATAACGTGTATTCAAACTCTGTATCTCTATATCCCAAAAGAATACATGAAATAGTATTGTCATTTTGTTTCTATCTTTGCTCCTTAGGCACATGCACAAATGTCTTGTACCCGAATACCTTCAAGTGAGAGTAGTTAACATCATTCTTAGACCATACTCTATCAGGAATATCAAAATTTAAAGCAGCTGATGGAAAGAGATTCATTATGTAGCAGGCAGTGTAAAGTGTTTCACCCTCAAATGACTTTGGTATATTAGCCATTTTTAGCAAGTACCTGACATTCTCTAGGATGGTTATATTTATTCTTTTAGTAACAACATTATGTTGAGGAGTACTTGAAACAGTTTTTTCATGTCTGATTCTGTGCTGTAAATAGTAATTTTTCAATTTTTTTAAAGTATATTTGCCACAATTGTCACTGTGAAGACACTTTAAAAGTATTCGTTTTTCTTTTTTCTACCATAACATGGAACTACTGAAACATTGTATAACATGATCTTTTTTTTTTCAAAACTAACGCTCAAACTTTTCGTGAAGTATCATAAATAAATGTAACAAAGTATCGTATAATGATTCTACATCAATAGGACCACATACATCAGAATATACTAACTCAAGTACATTCATTTTTCTTTTGGAAGAATTTCAAAAAGAAATTTTATATTGCTTACCATATAAACAATCATCACAAGAATTTGAATACATATATTTGGCAAAAGAAATGAGAGACTTCTTTGCCAGAATCTACAATCTTTTCTCACTCATATGAGCCAACTTCCTATGCCATAAGTCTAACAAAACATTTTCTGCTGCATTCAGAGTATCTCTAATTGTCTTCACTTGAGTTTTGTACAATGTGTGACATAATTTACCTATTGCAATCACAATTGAACCTTCGATGAGTTTTTATTTTTTACCACCAAATAAGTTGTAATAACCATCAAAATCCAGAGTATGTGTAGAAATCAGATTTAGGCATAAATTAGACATATGTCGCACATTTTTCAGAGTTCTGCACACATATATCACCAATGCCAACAATATCTGCATAACTGGTATTACCTATCTTTACTCTATCAAAGTTCCCTGCTTTATACATAGTAAAAGCATCCCTCATGAGTATAGCATGGTAGGATGCTGCTGAATCAACAACTCACTCAGTATCAAGATCAATAATATGATCATGCTCCTCAATAAAAGTAAGTACAACCAGTTCTTTATCATCAGTTATAGCTGTTATGGTATTCTAATAATCTCTTTTTTTTTTTTATTATTCTGTTCCCTTTTTCAAATTCTGCAGTTTCATTTCATATGTCATTCCTTACCACAATG